TATATGTGGTATCACCCATGTTTATCGCAGCACAATTTGTAATAGTTAAATCCTGGAAACAACCCAAATGCCCATCAACCAAGGAATAAATGAAAAAGATGTGCTTTTAAATTTATTTATTTATTTTTTGTCTTTTTGAGACAGGGTCTTGCTTTGCAGTTCAGGCTGGCCTTGAGCTCACTTTGTAGCCCAGGCTGGTCTTGAACTCACAACAGTCCTCCTGCTTCAGCCTCCCAAGTGCTGGGATTACAGGCATGTGCCTCCACATCTGGCTCAAGATGTGTTTTTTTATATAATGAAGTACTACTCAGCCATAAAGAAGGACAAACTGGAGACTTTTATAGGTAAATGAATGCAACTTGAGGCCATACTCATAAGTGATATAAATCAGATCCACATGTGTAAACATCATATTGTCTCATTAGTGTGTGAAACTGACTGAGTAAATAAGGTCCAAAATGTACAATAGATATTGTGAACTGGAGAGGAGCTGTTAAAAAGAAAAGACAAACTGATGGGGGAAAGGAAAACAAAGGAAGGGGAAAAAATATTTATACACAAGATAGTTAAGATAATTATACAGCTATTTTCTCTTGTTCATTGAAAAGAAAGTTTTGTGCTAATATTGTTTGGACAAGATATCATGCCTATATCTTGTACTCTGAATAACTACTTTGAAGATAAGAATATGCAATGTATTAATTTTTTAAAAAAAATTTTATTTTAAAGAGTAAAAGAAGCATAACAATAATAGGGAGGGCTTACCAAATTACAGACAAAGTGGTAGGAAATTATCAGTGGTTATTGTTTTATATATTGTTATCTACAAGACAGTTTCTCAGGAAAACAAATAGACAAATAATAGTGAGTCACAACACAATGTATTAGTTATTGTTACTCTCGTACTAGTCTGTTTTCAAACTGTTTTACTGTTATTTCTTTCTCTTTAAAAAGAAAAAAAAAATTCTTGATCACTGGCTAAAACAAAATGGTTTGTCTCCCATAGCTGAAAATATCACATGTAGTTTAGGACTTACGCCTTGTTCTATCAGGTTTCTTATATATGACAGTAATTTCTTTGTCTTCAAAAGAAGAGCTTCCCAGAATAGTTTCCTTTTGATTCTCCTGTCTGGCCTTCTCATCGACCGTGGTCTTTAGGTTGGTTCAAAGATGTTAACAACCAGGAACTATGTGTTTCTTCACAGCCAATGAAAGAGAGCTGCTCTTTGATGTGTAGTGTTGAGCAGTTCAATATTCACAGTGTGGATGGCTCTGCTGACCCTGATTTCCTGTCTATATTCAAAATTAAACTTTTCACAAGGTGTGATGGTGCACACTTATAATCCCAGCTACTGCGGAGCCTGAGGCAGGAGGATCATTTGAGGTCAGCTTGGGCAATTTAAATACAACCTATTTCAAAGTTTTAAATATAGAAGGAGTGAGGATATAGTGTAGTGGTACAGTGCTTACCTAGTACATTGAAGGCCTTGTGTTTACTCCCCAATTCCATAAATAAACTTTGTGTGTTTAGTTCTGTTTGCCTTATGAACTATTAAGTTTCAGTTCTCACTTGTCATCATGGGCTTGATTTCAGGCTTCTTGGACATTCTCCTAGTTTAACTTTGAGATTGGGTACATACAAACATTTTGGGGGACTTTTATATATTGCCAACATTTATTTGTGTTTTTTGGTTTGGGTTTTTTTTTTAAATACAGTCTTACTATGTAGTTCAGGCTGGCCTTGAACTCACTATGTAACTCAGGTTCTCCAACTCACAGTGATCCTTCTGCCTCAGCCTTCCAAGTGCTGGGATTGCAGGTGTGCACCACTCTGCCTGGTTCAAGTATCCATGTTGATGTCATACTTTCCCTCTTTCATTCCTAGTCTGCTAAGAACAGTCACTTCAGAACTCTCAGCGACTCCCCAGTCTTTCTCACCAATAAATTTATCAAATCCTTGGCAATGAGAATGTCTCATGAAACCTCCCAAGGAACATAAGGAGCTGGTTGAGCAGGTCTTACATGATAAATCTGTAACAGAGTGTTACCATATCTGTCTTTAACTTCACTGACCATAGTGTTTCTTAGTTGGGAGGACTGGGCAGTGTCTGGAGACATTTCTGCCTGTATGACTGGTGTGCACACACTGCCATATTTGCCTAGGGGTCAGAGATGCTCTTGAAGCAAGGCACAGGACATCTTCCAAGAAAACAGCTATCAGGTCCAAAATACGTCATTTGTGCCAAGGTTGAGAAACTCGGTTAACATAAAGTTTGGGCATTTTAACTTCAGGGTAGGCTAATTTTATGTCTAGATTTCAGCCGCCCAAGTACATAAAGTGTTGAGGCCATCCTCAAGTTCCCAAGCTAAGAAAGTGTGTCTGGCATCACTGTTTAGTGCACCCATATCAACAAACCCAACCTAATCCCTCACTGTATTATTTATGCCTTATTCTATGTCTTTAAGATCCACAGCCATATGTATTTGTCAAGTTTTTATTGATACAGATTACAAAAATCCTCATTTTGGCTAGTATAATAATGCCTCATTGTCATATGTTTTACTCCTCATTTCCTGTGGTACTTCAGCCTTATTATAGATCTAGAAAAAGAGAGAGAGGCGGGAATGGAGGCAAGTCTTGAAAATGTGCAATCCACTGCAAGGAAAATATTTCAGGGAAGGTTATTACAGGTCCTTCAGTCAAGGGGAGACTAACCTCAGAAGTGGGAAGTAGGGCTTTTTTAATTTTTTAAATTAGATTTTATTGGTACATTTTAGATATACATAATGATCACATTCATCATAGACAATTTGTACTTGTACATGATATAAATTGGGTTTTTTCCCATTCCCCTGCCCTCCCTTCAATCCCTCTAGGGCTCCTTTTAATGACAAACAAAGATCAGATAAATTTAGAGGTCAAAGTCTTCAGCTCTGTTGGAATCTTCCCATATTCCCAGTTTTTCAGGATTCTACTCCTTTCTGATGGTAGTCTGTGACATAAGACTCTACAAGTTTGTGAATTCAATGTGTTATCATTCAGCCAGACCTACATGCTGTAAGTCTACAAGTTTACTAAAACAATGGTTTGGCAAATAAAAGGGCTTAATAGCCTCCATGCTTTCTTCCCTGATCATAACTTAAAATTCTCATTCTTATGGCTTCTTATATAATCACCTACACACATAGTTTAACTCAGAGTTTAATTAAGACAGCTCTCTAGAAGGAAAAACCCCAGGTTATCCGGGTTTAATATACTTAAACCCTGCCTACTCTCAGCAGCCCCTAATAGACTCAGACGATAATGCCCCTCAGAGTTCCCAAGGAGCATCAGAAGGGGGGAATAAAGCACAAATCCTACCTAACTGCAGCCATTTTGTCCAATACACCTAAAACCATTCCGTTCTCTGCCACTGAACTTGGCTAAATCACATAATTCCTTATCAAATTAAAACTTGTGTAAATGTGCTAAGTGATGGGTTTCCACCCATACAGAATTCTGTCAAGCCATCATGGCGATCCAGCATGGTGTGGAGGCCCAGAAAGACGAGTCCCACGCAACCTGGCTCTGTCTTCTTGCTCCCCACCTGAGCACTACTTCCTGTTTTCATTTGTGCATCTGTGTCCACCCTTGCCCAGTCAGTGCCTGCAATGTCACCTAAACTGCTCCCACATACTCCACCCTCAACCTAGCCCAGTATATACTTTGTTCCCGGCTTCCTCCCCCAGAGGGTCCTTGCTTCTCTTAGCTCCCCTCCCATGCCTGGCAATAAAGGCTTTCCTTATCTTTACTCTGTCTCTCACTTGCACCAAACCTAACTCTAAAAACAGCTTTCTACATACAGCTGTGCTCACAAGATACCCATTGTACGTACCATGGCCTTTAGTTATGCTCATCTTGTATAACTCCCCACTTGCCACCCTATAAAAAAGACAAACATTTTGTAATCGAGGCCTCAGACTTTAGAGACTACTCACTGGCATTAAATAGTTTCTTTTCTTCTCCTGAACTCCTGGCTGCTGTTGACTCAGTTTTCCTGTAACACTTTCACCCCACACTTCTTTGAAACGTCAATTCTATTTTACACTTGAGCAAATAAAGGTCTGGAAATGCAGCTTAGTGCGAAGACTGTGAGCTCAATACCCAGTATCAACAACAACCACAACAAATTGTGCTTAAACATTAACAAGTTTGCTCTTTCAAATTGAGTAACACCTTGAGTAATGATTACAATGGCTGTTACTGCTTTGAGAAGTCTATGCTGAAGCTTGTTTTAATTTTTGAGTATGTGTGTCTCTAGCAGGCAAGTTTTGAATTGCTTGTACTATGTAAAAGTGGAAATCTGTATCTCCATTATACTGTTTTTAATTTATATTTTTATTAGTACATGTTTGCAGTACATGACTACATCATCATAGGGAGTTGCTACATATATATTACACGTCCTAATTCTTTTTGTATCTCTTTTCCCACCCCGCCCTGCCCCTCTGTCCATCTCTTGGTCCTCTACCCATTTACAAAAGATCTATCTTCCTGTTCCCGTTGCACTTTTTTGGTCTTTCATTGTTTTTGTAACTAAAAAGTATCTTTCCTGTTAGTTGATCCTATTAAATATAAAAATTGCAAATTAAAGGCTTTTTAATTTTTGGTAGTGTTGGGTATAACTGTTGGGAAAGGATCGCATGATCTGTTTCTTACAATCATCATCTGACTCTCACAGTTTTGCCGTTACTTTGTCAATGAGAAAAAGCTAAACTCTACTGGCGTCAAAACTTCCTCAAGATCTACAAAATAGCGGGAAGCCACAAAATGGATTGTAGAAGTTATGGTCCGGGAACTCCAGGAATGTGGAGAGTGTGGTTTTTCTCTTACGAAGAAGGGCCACTATCCGTTCTACAATGGGGAATGAAGAGAAAGCTTTGCTTAGGTCTCCGACCGGAAGCTGACCGACGGCGGGAGCGCGGTGACCGTTGCCCTCGGCCTTCTGGGAAATGTAGTTCCGGGGCTCGGGATGGTCGGAGCCGCTTCCGCCCAGGAAAAGGAGGCAGTGCCACCATCTTTTCGGTCCGGAAGGTGAGTACGGTACATCCTTTGCTACCACCACCTTTTGGAGCCCTTTCGGCCTGCGGGTGGGACCCGACTGGGCGGTCGGTTTAGCACTGGGAAATCGCGGCTGCCGGAGGCTGGAGGAAGGAGGGCGGAAGTGCGGGTGCCCTCAGTGCCCTCCCCGTCCCTTGCATCGCTGCTCCTTCGCGCCGTGCGACACCCGCGCTCTAGTTTCCAGATGTGTAAAGCAGCGGTCAAGCGCGCGGCTACTGGGTAGGGGCGTGACTGGAAGCAAACCAGACAATGCCTGTCAAGGGCTTGGAGCGGGGCTAGAGCCTGGTAAGCGGTTTCCTTTGGCTGCTGCCAGCGATGCTCTCACGAGCGCCCTTTTCGGGGAAGTCCCTTGAAGAGAAAGAAGGTCAGGGCCCCGGGCCTTTCTCTTCCCTCGTTCAGGAGAGAGAGGCATAAGAGAGGAGCGACGCGCGCTCCCCACAGCTCGTCTTCATCGCAGTCAGCAACGGGAAGAGATTTCTTCCCGACGCGCCCCGAGGACCCCTACTTTGCGTAGCGTCTTGTTGCGTCATCTTTTCAGTTAATCAGGTTTTCCTGACTCCGTAAATTACCACTGGGAAGATAATCACGTCTTTTTTGAGTAAATGTGAAATGGGTAGGAGAGAGACTCGGAAATGCAATTATTAATAGCATCTTACCACTTTGATTTCTAGGCATTCTTCTGTGAACTATGTCGATCGATGAAGTAGATCTTGTTATTACGTTTATTTTAAGGATGAGGAAAATGAGACAGAAGGTGCGTGGTTTTTCCAGTCATTCAAGTTAATATTAAGAGCTGGCGTGCTGATTGACCCTCAGCAGTGTTTTCTCAGAGCCCCTTTTCTTAATCCCAGTGGTATAATGACCTTCAGTTGTCCTAGATAGTAACCCACTTGGCTAAAGGGGCTTCATCTGAGGTCAGCCAATGGGAAGGCACAGTAGTTGAGAAGTTTCTTATGGAAGACGTTGAAAACCACTGATTTTTAAAAATCCTAAAACATCTCATTCAATTAATTTGATTCCATGTCAAATAAAGTCATATGCTAGTTATACTAATAATGAATGCCCATTATAAAAGTGTGCCATCCCATCTAGTGCCTTGTGAACTTACATCTTATGAACGCTTGAACTGTGGTTGGTCCAAATTGAGATATGCTATTAGGTGTGAAGTAAACATTGGATTTTAAAGAGTGTACAAGAAGATATGATGGGTAGTCAATGATTTTTCTGCATTGATTACATGTTGAAATGATGTTTTGGATACATTACACTGCTAAATATAAATGTACTGCTAAATAAAATATATTGCTAAAAGTAACTTCCCCTACTTTTGTATTTTGTTTCTTTTTTGTGTTTTTAAATTGTCACTACTAGAAGACCTAAGTTTACTTATCTGATTAGGTACATTTTTGTTGGACAGATTAGATAAATCAGAAAATATACACATGAACAAAAAAAAAAATTAAGTATTACTTGTTAGTGTTTGCTACATATAAGTAGCTGGGACTACTCCCCGTTTACCTAAAATAGAGTGTTTTAAAGCATATCCCAAATGTCAAGCCAGGCGTGGTGGTGCACACCTGTAATCCCAGCACTCAGGAGGCTGAGGCAGGAGGATTGTTGTGAGTTCGAGACCAGCCTGGGCTACAAAGTGAGCTCAAGACCAGCCTGAATGACATAGCAAGACCCTATTTCAAAAAGACAAAAAAAACCCAAAAAACCAAAAACACAAAAAAACCACAAATGTCAGGTAACTTTTTCTTAAGTTGTACCAATGACCTGTGAAGCTAGCTTTTGGCACTCACTCAATGTATGTTTTTCCATGCCTTTTCTTTCTGACTTTTTGTCACTATGGTTTAATAGTATCTGTTAGAATATCTTTGGATTTTTTCTTTCCATGTAGTCAGGGATGTTTAATCTGTGTGTGTGTGTGTGTGTGTGTGTGTGTTCTATACATATGTGTATGTATCTTTTTGTGGTTTTTTTGTTTTGTTTTTTTGTTTTTTGGGGTTGTTTTTGGTCTTTTTGAGACAGGGTCCCGCTATGCAGTTCAGGCTGGCCTTGAGCTCCCTTTGTAGCCCAGGCTGGTCTTGAACTTGCAACAATCCTCCTGCCTCAGCCTCCCGAGTGCTGGGATTACAGGCGTGCACCATCACACCCAACAACGTGTATCTTTTTAATTTGGTATGCTTTGCATTGCTTCCTTTTCTCCCTGTTTGCTTTCAGCTCAGTTTATTCCTTCTTGTTATTCTTAGTGGCTTTAAACCAATATACTCTTAGGTCGTTCTTTTAACTTTTAAAAATTATCTATCAACAAATTGTTGCATGTATTGTCATTCTGAAAAATATACAGACTAAAAAAAAACCTTAAAATTTGATAATGTCCTTTTTTGTTGGTCTGTTTTTAATTGTAGGATAGGTCATAGGTCTACCTTATAACCATCCCCAAAGTTGGTCATTATTGTTCTTGGTTTATTTCTTTTTAACAAAGATTATCCTGTTGCCAACATATTTATAAATATTTTTTTCTCATTACTTCTTGCAAGCCAGATGGCGCACACCTGTAATCCCAGCACTTGGGAGACTGAGGCAGATGGATTGCCTTGAGTTCGAGGCCAGCCTGGACTACACAGTAAGTTCAAGGTCAGCCTGAACTACATAGTGAGACCTTGCCTTAGAAAAGAAAAGTGGGAAAAAAAAGAGAGAACCCCATTACTTTCGCAGTCTGTATTTCAGGGTTCAATAGTCATACATTTTCTTCAGTGTTGTTCAGCTAAAATATCTTTGTAGCTCAGACCTCATGTAAACAATCACTTTGTTTAGCATGGAAAGATGGAGAGCTCTTTTCTCCACTGTGAGGATAGTGTTCAGTTATTTTTGGTCTCCATTTAGTTATCCTGTTTCTGCCAAGTATTTGTTTTAGGTAATTTTATTTTCTTCTGAGCACATTAAGATTATAGTGGCTATTTTCAGCTCTTCGTATTTGTTTAGGCCTGTTGCTTTCTCAAGTTTTACTCTGCTTTGTTTAGGAGTATGTTTATTTTTTATACTGTACAGGATTCCTATATGTAAACATATATCTTTTATCAGTTGTGGGAAATTCTCAGCAATTACATTTTTTTTTTTTTTTTTTTGAGACAGGATCTCATTATGTAGTCCAGGCTAGCCTTTAAATCACTGTGTAGCCCAGGCTGGCCTCCAAATCACAGTGATCCTCCTGCCTTAGCCTCCTGGAATTACAGGCATGTGCCTCCATGCCTAGCAGCATTCCCTTTTGAAGGAAGTCCCCTCATTTCTTCCATTCCCTTATTTTCATGTTTAAACAGATATGGGAGCTTCTTGATTTATTTTCCATCCATCTTGATTTTTCTTTTATTCGTCTCTTTTTCTTTGCTGTGTGTTTTTCTTTAGCTCCATGCAAACAGCATAAAAGGCTGATCCTTTTCTGATATCATGAAGTGAGTTGACCCCAAAATAATACTTTATAGAAAACTGATATCAGTGCCAATAAAAAATTACTAGTGGGCTGGGCATGGTAGCACATGCCTGTAATCCCAGCACTTGGGAGGCTGAGGCAGGAGGATCTGTGTGAGTTTGAGGCCAGCTGGGGCTACATAGTGAGAACCTGTCTCAAAAA